TTGTAAATAGTGCTGCTATGAACATTGGTGTGCATATATCTTCTCGTGTTGTGGCTCGTTTTTCTTGTGGGTAAATACCAAGTAGAGGAATTGCTGAATCATAAGGTATTTCTATTTTCAACCTTCTGAGGAAATGCCATATTAGCAGGCTAATTTTTAAGTTGATAATTTTGTATGGCCCTCAAATTATGTTATCATTTTGGCAGAAAAAAGATTTTCCATCCCTGATGTATGAGGACCTTGAGACTAGGAATAACTTGGGCAGTTTGATAAACTGTAATTATGCCAGTTAACTGGATAGTACCAAAAATATGCTACAAAGATAGGCAATGCTGAATCACACAAGATCTCCTAAGTATACTGTTGGAAGCTGCCTCAACTCAACAAGACTTGTTGTTGTTAAGTGCCGTAAAGTAGGTTCCAACTCATAGCAACCCTGTATAGGGTTTCTGAGGAGCAGCTGGTAAGCTTGAACCACTGACCTTCTAGTTCAAATGACGTTGCAGCCCAGCACATTAACCCAAAGCGCCACACCAGGACTTCTAATGACTTAGAACATGTATTTAAATTTGAAAAATTAAACAGTGTATAGTTTAAAATCATCTTAAGACCATTCACTCATATTCTCAACTTTAATTTGTATAACTTTTTTTTTCTTTTTTATTTAAAATTGTTTTCTTCTTGCCTTTTAAGACAAAATTTTATGCATCATACATAGATCAGAAAAACATACACAACTACGTTGACATGATTGTATTTGGAGTATGTGTATTTAACCAGAAACCAGTCTTGAATAGAGAAAAGCTCTGACAAAAATCAAGTATCATCAATACAATGTTGAAATATCAACTCTCAATAAAAAGGAAAAATTAATGTACAGCACAGTTTTCTGGATCACCCAGAAGACCCCATGTTACTCAGAAAAGTACAGACAACTGAACTTCATGGTCATCGTACCTCTAAGCAGGCATTCAAAGAAAACATAAAGGGTTTGATGTTGTTTTAGGTTTTCCTAGTGGTCCTGATCTTTTTCAATAATGGACACTGAGAGGGAGCACAAAAATGTGTATCACAAGTACCTTCTCTTATGAGGTATAAATAAAATATTGATGTATTTGAAAATGCCCAAGTGTTCAATAAAGATTTTAAATAAAATACCTAAAAGTCATGGATCTTAGGCTAATCATTTATTTATCTAAAGGATGAAGAAAACTGTCTACTTCTGTGATATGAACTGCAATCAGCTTTAAAATAATTGACAAATTAATCCCTTCACAGCACAGCAATTGTAAAGGTGTTAGTTTTAATTAAGCCTGTCTGATTGCCTTGTCTAATCAAGAATCAAGGTGGTATCTTTGATGGTTAAGGTCTACTGGGGCCATCCCTGACCTGCCAGCCATGTATGTTTTAATTATTGATTCCTCACATATCAGCCCTTTTCACAAAGGGACTTAAAGTTTGCAATATGTTAACATATAAGGGAAAGAGGAATAAATATTTTCCCCAGCATTTCTATCTGGATTTCTGAAAAATATTATTCTACATTTTTTTGTCCTAAAAAATATTAGCAGCTGATGACAGAGTCAAATGCACATTAGAATGCTATCTTATCTCTGCTATACCTCCCACACACTAGATTTTTCAAATGAACATTGTTAACATCTTGACAGGTCACAGTTATTTAGGTAATAGAAAACACATATGATTTCTTGATAATATATTTTAGAAGGAATCTCTGAGGGTGAATATAATACTCAGAAATCAGGGAAGTATACAGAAAAGGATACTTCCCACAAAACTCTTCCTGACACTTCTAAGAAGGCATAAGGCAAGGTCTCTGGTGTCACTATCAGTTGTCTGAAGCCTGCCAGTGAGCATGAGCAGCTGGGTGGTCTTGACTGTCCCGGTGCATGACAGCAGCTCTTCTTTGGTTGCAGGTCAATGAAGTGACGGTGGAACACCTGGTGCAGCAGTACCCCCACATCACCTTCAGCACCGTCCTGCAGGACTGCAAGAGGACCTTGGAGAGGGCCTACCAGATGGGCTGGACCCCCAACATGTCTGCTGCCTCCTCCTAACATTTCTGCCCACATGTGGGTCAACTCATCATTCAACAGGGCAGAGAGGAATTGTAGATTAGGAGTGGGTGATCTCTTGGAAAAGTTTTAACTGTCAGTGTGTACCCGAGTGTATATATTTGTGTCTTGTTTGCCTACTGCATAGCATAAACGCAATTGTTATTTGTTCCCAGGTGAGCTAGTTTGATTTTTTCCACCAAAATTAAAGAGTTTGAAAGCCACATCCTCCTAGCTTTATGTCTGAAGGCTTATTTCTCAAAAAATAGATATGTATATTTTTTAATATAGAGTCAAAAAAATGGATGCATTATTTGAAGCTTCTAATTACTGCCAGTTGGAGCTACCCCAAATAGAAGGCAGGCTTCTTTTTGAGGTGTCAAAACTGTGGACTTCTGGTTATGACCAGACACTGATGTTATAGTAATTGATAGTCTAGAAACCAGTACTTTTAAGAAATCCCAAGCACACACACAGGCAGGCACTTACACTCCCATGTTCATTCACATATCCACGTGCCTGCTCATACACACAGCAGGACAGTTTCTTTCTAGATCATTTCTTGACAGACGAGTCCTCTTCCAGGCCACTAAGGGAGCATTTTATCCAAAGTAACTATACCTACTCAGTGTATCCACATGTGCCCAACTTGCTATCTGGTGGGGGACTTAGAGACTAGAAAGAATAAAGCCTTTTAAAATTTTTTATATGGAGGTAACAATCTAAACTTCCCTGGCCAGCTCACAAAAATTAATTATTCATTATTCCACAGTGCGTTCTGTTGAATAGTAGACATTTTAGTTGGGTTTTACCTAATATTGTGTTACCTTTTATTTCATGGATTTCAAAAAAAAAAAAAAAACAAACTGGTCAGGATATGTTTTTAATGACATTTGGAGCTAATCATAGCATTATCTCATTGAAGCCACCGAAGTAATTAATGCTGTGCAGTTAGTTACAGAAAAACAACCCTGCACATCATTTAATTATTTTGTTAATTTTGGTAATTATGAAAGTATATTTTTGAGATTTGTAGGTAGTCAAGTTAGTAGAAGATTAATGAGTGAGATATAAGTATACAGTCTTTCTATTGATTTTGGGGTGTTTTTTTTTTTTTTGCTTTGGGTTTTAGAACAGGTTGTTCAGATACATGCATGTTATCATTTTTTAAGTAGTTCTTATGCTATGCAAAGAGCTATTACTGGCTAATGTATGAGATTACAAGAAAAAATAGAAAATCTGTTCATTTAAATTCTGTTTACACTTGTCAGAAATAAGCATTTCTTTGTTTAATTAAAGATTGCCAACCTTTCGTTAAGACAGTACCCATCAGCAAGTGAACATGTTTGATTTCACACATCTTTACAATTAATTCATAGTAGGGACTCAGGCTCCCATAACCTTTCCTGTGTCTACATTTATAGTCAGACAGCAGGAAGCCTTTTGAAACTAAAGAGCGATTATCTTTCACAGTAGAACTAGAAACAAAACCCTGCCTTGTGAATTTGCTGTGTATTCTTCCCTGATGTGGACATAACTGTTATTTGGTCTTTAACAGGTAAACTGAGGTTTGAGTTTCATTTTCTATAAATTCCCCCACCCCAAAAAATGTCACAAGCTATAAGAAAGATAGATTTACATTTGAATGCCATTCACTTATTTATAATGACTCCTTTTTTGTAAACAACTGTTTCCTTTGATTATGTCAACGTTTTTCTGATGTGGCAATTTTTGTTGTTGTTGTTTTTAATTTGAATCAGCTAAGAAAATGTAGTTAGTATGTATCAAGGTATTTTTCCCATAACTAAATATATTGTTAATTTAATTTGAATAGAATAAAATTTGTGTTAAAAAAAAAGCTATTTACATTAATAAACTCTATTTCTTCTTAGACATCAAACTGTATCATTTTCACAGTCACTTCCCCACCACTGAAAAAATCTTATTTCTCAATATTTTAACTGGTTTTTAATCCAAAACTAATTTATAAGACAATATGTATAGTAACAGTAGCTTGAGTGAATAAGCAAAACTTTAATTTTTATATATGTCACACTATATTTTAAATAGCTAAAGAAAAAAAAATGACAAAAGTTGGGAGAGCCATCTCTAATACAGATGGTGCCATTTCAGTTCAAAGTTGTAATGATCTTGGGAGTGTTACAGTTTGGTTGTCAAATGGTTTTGGAAGTGTATAATTGAGTTTTTTAAATGTTGCATTGTTTGAATCTAAAGTACGCACTATAACATGCTTTAGCTTTTGGGGGTAGGGTGGGGGGACTTGCACTTATTCTTTAAAATGTTGACTAATCCAGAAAGCCTGATGCAACCTATCCTGGAAAACTGCTTTGGTACATTTGTAGAAATCTGTAGAAATCTAATATCCAGCCTCACAGCATTAATCTCACAAAAACAACCAGAAGAAGCATCATCTTGAGTGACCCTGTGACCCTGTGATGGTTGTTGAATGTGTTCTCATTAGATGCTTTGAAGAGGCTTAAAATAATTTTTCTGGGCAATATAGTTTCTTTTTTTCTTTTTTTTGCTTGGGATGTCATAAATACACGTGAACACATTTAATGCAGGACTTTTCATCCTCTTCAAAATGTCAACAGTATTTTCAGAATAAAGACTATGAAATATATTGCTGTAGTGGAACATTCTGGTCCTTTGTCTTTAATGTCTTTTTGAGTGGATAAAGAAAATTCACCCGGTTTGTAGTTTCTATATTTCCGTGAATCTTTTGACCTTGCAATGGGTTGCAATAAAAGAGAAACAAAACACTGTGTCTTTCCTTTCATTTTAGAGACAATAAATGGCCTCCCTGGTGCTGGGTGAATGTGATGCGTGCAGTAGTTGGCGTCCTTGTGTGTTTTACTGTCAATTTTATGGAGGCTTCATGAACACCAAGTAGTAAATAGGACTGGGTTCAGGAGGCTCTAATTTGGCTAGTGATTGTTGAGATAAAATTCAAACCTCCAGGGTTTTTGTGACAAGTATATGGAAAGCTTAAAATCCCATTCCCTAAACAGTCATTTATTTACTTAGCCATTTATTGAATCATTAAAAAATAAATAAGTAAAAAAAATTATTGTGTAGCAACTATGTGATGGGCACTGGAGATTTAGAGATAGGTGAAATATACTCCAACCCTCAAGCTGCTCACAGCCTACTAAGGAGATATTCTTGAGAATTTGTAAGGCAAAGGCTTATGGTTGGTAGGATAATAGACATGGTTATGTTGTTGTTGTTGTTATGTGCCATGGAGTCGGTTCCGACTTTAGTGACCCTGTACAGGGTTTCTGAGGCTGTAAATCTTTGCGGGAACAGAACGCTTCATCTTTCTCCCGCAGAACAGCTGGTAGTTTTGAACTACTGACCTTGCGGTTCACAGCCCAATTCACAACCACTACGCTACCAGAGCTCCACACATATAGAGCAGAGCAGCAGCTATGGAAAGGGAGGCCTTCACAGAGTTTTTACTGGTGTTAAGAAGTAGTAAAAATTTGCCAAATGCTGGATAGAAAGTGAAGAACATCCTGGAAAAGGGGGGCGGGGAGGAATATATATATATATATATATATATGGAGTCCTGGTGGTTAATGCACCAGATTGCAATTTGAACTACAGGGTCTGTGGTTCAAGCTCACCAGTCGCTCCTTGGAAATCCTGTACAGGGTCGCTATGGGTCAGAACCAACTCGATGGCACTTAACAACTATATATATGTATATATATGCAGAGAGATGGGAAATTGAGACGGGATCATTGAGGTAACGGTATAGGAAGATAGTCCTAGTGGTACAGTGGTTAAACATTCAGCTGCTAACCCAAAGGTCATGTTTCAAACTCACCAGCTACTCAGTAGGAGAAAGATGTGGCAA